GCGCAGGGGCACTGCCAGTCCCGGGTTACAGCCGGTGCCGTGCAGAACCCCCCTGCCCCCCGCACCACCGTGCAGAGACCCCCTCAGCGCACCCCCGTCCCTCTGCACGCTGTCGGGTGTTTCTCCTCCCCAACTCTCACCCCAGTCCCAGATCTAAGCCCAGACCCAGCTCCCCGCCACCCTCGGCACTCAACTCTTGATGAAATTCTCTCCAAGAATGATGTCGACAGAAAGCGCCAACAGCTTCACGCTGATTGGGGAGGCGTCGGATGGCGGCACCATGGAGAACCTCAGCCGGAGACTGAAGGCAAGTTTTACACAAGCCGGTAAACGCAGACAGCTTTGAACGGAGCACCGGTTTTCCTAATGCTCTGTGTGGCTGAGCTGCAAAGCTGCCCGTGCGCCAGCCTGGCAGTACTGCGGCTGCTGAGCGGTTCGGTGAAGCCGGCTCGTTTCAAGTCAAGATCTGAGCTGCAGTAAAGACTTTGCAGTTGAAGAAGCTGAGCCTGTCCGTGCAAACCAGCTGGCAGCGGCCCGTGGCTGCCCCGCACTGACAGCGAGCGGTCCCGCAGGTCACCGGGGACCTCTTTGACATCATGTCGGGGCAGACAGACGTGGATCACCCCCTGTGCGAGGAGTGCACGGACACGCTGCTGGACCAGCTCGACACGCAGCTGAACATCACGGAGAACGAGTGCCAGAACTACAAGTGAGTGAGTGGGGACTGAGCTGCTTCACTCGGAGCCTGGGGGGAGACCTCAGCTGCGATCAGCACGGGACCTTATTCCTCTGCACTCACAGGGCAGGATTGGTGCAGAGAGCTCAGGATTAACAAGATGCCCGGGGGATCAGAGCTCCTGCCTGCACAGATCTGGGGGCTGCTGGCAGGGGGCTTCCTGGGATCCCCGCTGTGGTAATCCTGTCCCTCCTTTAGGAGATGTCTGGAGATCCTGGAGCAGATGAACGAGGATGACAAGGAGAAGCTGCAGACAGAACTGAAGGAGCTTGCGCTGGAGGAGGAGCAGCTGATCCAGGAGCTGGAGGATGTGGAGAAGAACCGCAAGATTGTGGCTGAGGACTTCGAGAGAGTCAGGGCAGAGGCAGAGCGGCTGGAGCAGGAAGAAGCTCAGTGAGTGAACCATGACTGCAGTTTATGGCAGGGATTTTGGGTAACAGAGAAATGAGATCATAACACAGAGAAACCTGTAAATAATGCCCAAAGGCTTGGCCTTTGAAGTTGGCTAGACCGAAAAAACCCCAGCGCGCTGTGTGAGCAACCGTTTTTCTGTAAAAGCTTGCACTCAGCATTTCTTGTCTTGCTCTTGTTAAAAGGTACCAGAAAGAATACTGCGAGTTCAAGAGGCAGCAGCTGGAGCTGGACGATGAGCTGAAAAGCGTGGACAACCAAATGCGCTACGCCCAGATGCAGCTGGATAAATTAAGGAAAACCAACGTGTTCAATGCAACCTTTCACATCTGGTAATGTAGACACTGGAATATTGCCTCAGCTTGCTCAGAATCTGCAGCACAGGGCTGTTTAATGCTGCAGTTGGCAGGGAAGGTGCTTGTCAGCCATAGTTACCACCACAAAGCAGCTGGTCACAGCTCCCACAGCATCGGCAGGCATCCAGGTAGACCCCTAAATGGTTCCTTCACGGACCCTGCTAACAAACCAGGGGCTGCTGTGCGAGCTCTAATGTCAGGCGGTACAGAGCAGGTAGCTAAGGAGGTTGAGTGTCTGTTGTTTGGTTTTTTTTAACTCTGGCATAAAAAGAGAACAACTGGTTGGTATTTATACACTTTAACCAGAGCCCCAGGCCCCTCTTTGCTCGGTCAGCAGTGTTCCGTAGCTGTTGGTATGCAGCCCTGGTTTGGTTGGCGTGCCAGAAGCTGTTCCTGCCCCAGTGCATTTATTTATAATTCCTCTTATCACAGGCACAGTGGCCAGTTTGGCACAATAAATAACTTCAGGCTTGGCCGCCTCCCCAGCGTTCCCGTGGAATGGAATGAGATCAACGCTGCCTGGGGGCAGACGGTGCTGCTGCTGCACGCTCTCGCCAACAAAATGGGCCTGAAGTTCCAGAGGTACGCGCAGTAACACACCCCACAGTGACCCCACAGACAGACGGGCTCACCCCCCTGTGAACCCTCTCTCCTTCCAGATACCGTCTTGTACCGTACGGCAACCACTCGTATCTCGAGTCCCTCACGGACAAATCAAAGGTAAGAGATCCCGCACAAACTGGAGGACGTTGATCTTGAACGCCACAGAGCCCAGGCCATGGGCAGACTCAGTTCTCTGTGAATTACGGTACAGGAGAGCCAGCTGCCCCACGTCCCCAGCATCAGTAACATCTCACTCCGTGGCCTGCATCAAACCACTCGTTCTGCCACCCGTTAGCATTAAACATGAGAGGACTCTCAAACTACACACCACAGCTGGCCCAAGGAGTGTTATTTGGGATGGCTGTTGGTGATTGGGAACCTGAGCCTGCACGCAGTCACGCTCACCACAGAACAGGTCACACTTACACTGTGCCACAAACCATTCCCAAGCATCCCGTCACAACCCTGAAGAGCTGCAACAACCATGTCTGAAATGGAGCGCCTGGGGTGCCTGAAACGCGTCTTTGTTCCAGGAGCTGCCCTTGTACTGCTCCGGAGGCCTGCGGTTCTTCTGGGACAACAAGTTTGACCACGCCATGGTGGCTTTCCTGGACTGCGTGCAGCAGTTTAAAGAAGAAGTGGAGAAAGGCGAAACTCGATTTTGTTTGCCTTACAGGTGAGTGCTGCTGTGTCACACCAACACCTCGTACACTGTCCCGTGGCACTGACCGACCTCTGCGTGCTGATTCAGCCCTGGAAACATCCCCCGTTCTTTGTAACGGCAGGATTGCCACATTTGCCCTTATTTTAGCTGACATCTAAAGCCAGTTCCTTGGGTGAAGACCTGAGGCTTGCTAGATTTCCTTTAAAAACAAAGTTACTGTTTCACAGAATAATAGGAATGTCAGATTTACATTTTAGTACTTGAGGTCACACTGAGATTAGCTGCTTGCAGTGGCAATGCACTAATGAAGCTTTGTGTGTGATACAGGATGGACGTGGAGAAAGGAAAGATTGAAGATACAGGTGGCAGTGGTGGCTCTTACTCTATTAAAACACAATTTAACTCTGAGGAGCAATGGACAAAAGCACTAAAATTCATGTTAACTAACCTGAAGTGGGGTCTTGCCTGGGTCTCATCCCAATTCTATAACAAGTAACCACATAAAGAACTCGTCCTGGCAGCTGGAGAGTGTCTGCGTTTTGTCGGAGAAAGTCAAATTGAGATGTCTCTTAATATTAACCAGTACAAAATGTTTACAATACCAAAAATCCATACGACACTTTATTTAAAATACCATTATTGCAAGTAGTGTATAGAAAAGCAATATGTAAAGTTACATCATTGAGCTGAAAAGAATAAAAAGATCAGCTATTAAGTAGAGGCTAAACTGGTACTTTTGGGGTTTGTGGAAATGCATGTACAATTACTGTCGAACTTCGAAACACCAGTGGGTTCAATACTGCACTGTTGCAGCTTAACACAGGTTAGAAAAGCAAAACGTTACAAACACAGAATAACGTGCAAGAGCTCGCAGAAGCTCTGCTCGGTCGTTAAAGGGTAACTACAGTTTTAAATAAAATATTTTCTAAGTTGTATCAGCGCTTCTGTGTGCCACTGAACTGAACAAGGCATGATGCTGTTTAAAATACCGTGGGCTGTGATGATGCCCACTGCGTAACGCTCCCTGCAGCCCACTCTGGTACCAGAGGAGGGGCACCAGGAAGCAGTAAAACCCTTCCACACAAAGCGCTTCCCATCCAGCAGCTGCCAGCACCGCAGCAGCAGCCCCTGGCGCCTACCCCCGCACCCTGTTGTGTCAACTGTGTTACTTTCAAAACGGGTGGGATTCTGCCCTTTTCACACCCTGCTCAGCTTGCTGGCTTGCTGCGGGTACAAGCAAATGGGCTCTGAGCGCTGGCAAAGGGAACGTGGGACCGAGCAGCCTGGCTGCAGAACACTGCCCCAGACAACAGATTTGGTTTTTTTAAAGTAGCAAATGGAGAAAGCAAGCAGAGCCCTGGCTGTAATGACGGTGTGCAAGCTGCCTCCAGCAATGCAGGTCAGCACACAGTGCCAGGCACGTGAATGCCTTTTCAAAACATGACCATTCAAAGGAGACATTTGCAACTTAGAAGGTGTTGCTCTTACAATAAAGCTTTTGGTGCTGAAAGGTATTTCTAAGTGCGACTTTGTTCCCCTGGGCCTCCCTTCACAGCACTAGGGCACTGCCTGCAATGATGAGCTTTGCTAATTAACAGGTAACGTACAGGAGGTGACAGAACTCCTGCAGATCAAACTCGAAATGAAAACCAAATCACGTGGGGTGCCCTGCACCGTATTGGGGCACAAGCTGTTGGCACCTGGAGCACAGGACACCCCTATCTGAGGGGCAGAATTCTCTTCTCTGCAGCTTTTACCCCGCTGTTGCTGTAGCGCTGCTTTGGAGTGGTGCTGCCAATGACGTGCTTCAGTACCGCGTAAGAAAACTCTAAGATACTTTGTGAGGAAATGCCAGTGATGCAGTGTAAGTGCTCTACAACCTGAAAAAAAATGAGGATGTTTACAATGCCTGCGAGACATTCATTTCCAGACACAAGGAACGCAGAAACAACCCTCGCTTTTTCACGTCGATGTATCGTGAAAGCGACCATACCTGCTTCCAGTGCTCGGGGTTCAGCACGAACACGCTTGTGCTGATGATTCCAACAGCCAAAAGCATGAAATCTTCCTTTACTGTCAAAAACTTTGCTCTGCAGAAGTAAAAACGTCTTCTGCTGTAAAATGACGCTCGTTTTACAGTTCAGAAGCACCTACTTCTGTGATCACTCTACAGCCCATGGACAAAGATGTTTGGTCTTTCAGTCCAAATAAAGCCCAATATTGCCAACTGTGACAGCGTTAAAGCTGGATTTTTAAGATTAAGTTAAACACTTCACTAGCTCGCCCCTAAAGCAAACGTGGTGAAGCACATTGCTTTGAACTGGTGCATTAAGATCAAGAAACAATGCTAAAAGCCCTCAAAATTTATTTATTTTTTTTAAACATGCCCCAAAAATGACCTAATGGGAATGATGCTATTTCTGAGGGGGTTTTTTTAGGGTTTCAATGCCAAATAGTTTTTTTAAGCAATAGTCACGTAAGCTACTTACACCTGCAGTTTGCTCGGTGTCGAGTTCTCGATGGCGATCTTGAGCAGCGTGTCGTAGATGCTGTCTCTGCTGAGGTAGGAGAAGTCCAGCACCTGCATGCACATCTGGTGCAAGGGCTCTGCAGGAAGCAGGCAGCCGTTGTGTCCTAGCACAGACAGCGGGCACGATCAGCCACACATTGTGGGTCATTAAACCAAATCAGAAAGAAGCCTTGGTTCCTGTAAGTGAGGGGTGAAGGTTTCTGGTGACACTGCCCTTTGTGTCACAGGCTTCTCCATCTCAGCATAATTTCACTCATTCTGAAATACAGGTTGTAGCTGGGCAAAGAAAATCGTAAATCCCTCTAGAAAATGTGGCCTCACACTAGGTTTTGGGGGTTTAAAACTTCTACTGAATGAGTCCAACAACATTAATCAGATTCTACTAAGGACAAAGCTCTCATCGGAAAAGCAAAGCCCTCGAAATCCTGAGGATTTTCACGTGCCTTCACAGTATGCAAAAATCTGTAATGCGAGACATTTTGGTTCAAATCAGTCACAGCTCTATTACGCTCTTAAAAAAACTCCCGTTCTCTTCTATACTATTCTTACCCAAAACCTCCAGCAGCAATTCCACATAAGCCAAAGGAGTCAATACATTGATCTGGAAGCGCAGAGTTTTTAAAATGGTGAGCTCGGACTCGAGCAATTCCTGTTTAGTGTACGAGTACTTTAAGGACTGCAGGAATTTTAAAGCTTTGTCACTGTTTACTATCTGAAGAGGAGAAAAAAGGACAAATCAGCTGCTAGGCAATAAGGCACTGGCTAAGGACAAAGTACTTTTTACCGCATTACTGACAAATTGTTACTTGGCGAGTGAAAATTAATCTGCTCTGAATGGAAGAGATTTAGGTCTCCATGTCAATATCCTTTGGACTTCAAAATCACTACCGTCTTTCAGAGAGAAGATCTACTTTTTATGAGATGAATATACTACAGAATCACAGAATCACGGAGTGTAAGGGATTGGAAGGGACCTCAAAAGCTCACCCAGTCCAATCCCCCTGCCGGAGCAGGAACACCCAGATGAGGTTACACAGGAAGGCGTCCAGGCGGGTTTTGAATGTCTCCAATATTCTACAGTTCTAAAAAAAAGTTCTAGGAAAAGGTTCAGCTGGCTTACATTATAGTGTAAGGAAAGCTTGCTTGCAAGCTGAACGCACGACACAAGTCGCAGGACAAACGTGTCATACATCTCATCTTTCAGAGAGCTCCTGCTGCTGCCTTGTCTTTCTTCACGTCTTTTAATGTTCTCTCTGGAGGGCTTCCAGATTTGTTCTACTTTCTTGACCATGAACCTACAAAACCCACAATTGCTCAGAGAACAGTTCTCTTCTGCTAAGAGAAAGGAAGCAAAGCAATTCTGCAGGTACTCAAAATATACAGATAGTTGTTAATTTGAATTAAATGAGTAAAGAGACAAAGCTCTAGACATGAAAAAAATGATTCATTGATTGAGTGGTATAGAGCACACACAGTGTAACTGTGTGAGGGAGATAAAAAATGCAGTGAGCATTCAGGATGTTTATTACCTTTCAAGTAACTCTACTGCTTGGTACCTTGCCGATTGGTCCAAGTGCCATTTTTCAGACAAAAGGAATACGAATTCTGCAAAAAAAGCCCAACAATCATTCCCTTCAGTCAGCTGAAGCTAATTGTGTAGGAGTCACTCATCTCAGGAGGCAACTGTAGCCGAGATAACGACTCTCACCCACAATCCGTGCCTCCTTGAAGCAGCCGGCCTGCTTGGGCAGCTCATTCAGGTGCTGCTCGTTCTCCATGGCCAGGTGGATCAGCGACTCCTCCATAATCTCAGGAGACACCCTACCGAAGATGGGGCCTGGGTAACGGTACTGGGACATTGCTTGCGCCTGGGACTCCATTGGGCGGTGCAGGACACGGCAAGGAACTCGAGGGTGACCACGGCCCTGCAGCACTCGGCCACCTC